TTGCGTGGAAGTCCTTTGCATGAGCCATCTGAGGAGATTCCCAGCTCAAGCCCTGCTGCTACAGACCTGGATGAAGCAGCGCTTGCAGCCGTCCTAAATGCATGTGCCGACTTGTCCATCAACCTCTGATCTCTGTAGTCTCAATTTCCCCATGAATGTGGTTGCATGACCATAAGCCGATGCCTCGACGTCGACAACAAGCATAGCATAAGCCGGGACAACGTTGCAGGTTCGGGAGTCTCGCAGGCATGACAAGCTCTTAATGACACTGACCTTGCCGGCTATTGGGATTGGGTCTAATTTTCTCATGTATTTTGTGCCTATCCGTATCGTCAATGGGGTGGTGATCTCTTCTTCTCCTTGGTCGTGTTGCTGTGCATGTACTGCTCGGCTTCTCGGCATCTGGCTAAAGCGTGTCATACATGCTTATCAGCAAGCATGAGTTTGAGAAAAGAGTGAAAAGAACAGGGTTTCATATCGACTGCGTAGCCGCGCGAACATCTTGAAGTGGGCTTTAGCAAGAGCTTGGTTACGCCAAGCAACTTACATTTTATTGGGCCAATGTTGCAAAGGGCATTCAACGCTTGCCTGTATCACCGAAGTGTTCGAACTTGTGATGTTGACACATTCTCGTGTTGTTCTCTTCTCTGTAATTTAGTGTTGATGGCTTGCCAAGAGTAGCGCAAAACATTCTGGTTTGGAAGCCGCTCATATGAACAACCTTGATGCTTCTAGGTGTATGCACGCGAAGCTATGCAGCAGCTTAGTGCAAGCTTTGAATTGAAAAGCCTTGGCTTCCCAGTGTACTCTTTCTTTCCAGAGCAGCTTCCTCCCTTTCGCAAGTCCCCGCATGTTTCGATACCATGGTCAAGTCCAGTTGCAACTTCCCTTCTTTTGATGCACATAGCTGTTGGCGATGACCTCATTGCAGGTCCGCTGGAGCGATTGATGAAAGTCTGAGATGAGAATCGGTTAGCCCCTGCTTTGTTCCAGGTTTTGTTTTTTCTGTTTTGGATGCTGGGGTTGCGCAGGACTCAAGTCGACGGATGCCCGTATGGTATGTTCACAGGATCATCTACGTTTTGCTTCAGTGGTAGCACCCACCGTGGCAATCGATTCCCCCGTCAGAAAATGAACTCCTTCAGGTCAAGCCGCCTCAATCTCTTCCTGCACCGAGCCTGCAGGGCGGGTCTCTCGGGATCTCTGGCATCCGACCTTGCGCTTGGACTGCGACGCATGAGTCCTGACCCAGGTGAGCGACAGAAAAGGCGGGGACTCCGATGTAACGGTTGGCTGCAGGGAGTCATGTGTGGCAGTGCAGCGCAGCCCATGAGTCTCAAGACTACTCGTGCATCTGCCTTGCAAGGTGCCGGGGTGGTAGCGGCATCGTTAGCAGCCTTGCATCTCTCTCGCGCAGCGCAGACGCTGAAACGAAAGCGGCTGCTCTGGGTCCAGCTGGCGCTCTTGACCTTGCCAGCGGTGAATCTCTGCATCGCGCGCGTTTCGTGGAGCTTATCTTGTCCTGCCAGGCTTTTCGAAGTATGTCGCGTTGGCGTCCCTTGCAAGGCGACCCACTGTCGACAGTAGTTAGTTGTCATATTGACGGTTGGATGCTCGAGCAATCTTGTACGTCGCCGACTGCTCTGTCTTGATGTTCAGGTCTGGAGAGCCTTCTCCGCTGCAGAGTTCGCCGAACCTCGTGTGCGATGCTGAAGGCTGTGGCAGATAGGGCTGTGCAAGCTCTTGCACGGAGACTCTGCGCCGTTGAGGCGCTTCTACACTCGTGGCTGCGCGCTGCGGTTGAGTCAGCTGCCTCGACACGAGGCTCGCAGCATCCCGCCGTGCGGAAGGGAGGTTCCCCCAGTGCAGTGTCAGGTCCCGATGTGAAGGACTCCAAGGTTCTGTCTTGCCAGGCGTGGCGTTCGTCCTGAGTTGCTCCTCTGGTGATCTTGCGGGAGCTAGCACTTCAGGTGCCGGTGCAAGCCGCTGCCTGGGATGCAAAGGGCTTGGACAGTGCGCTGGCATTTGCCGAAGCACTCTGCTGGCACACGGTGCGTTGTGTGGCCAAGGCTTGGCGACGGGCTGCTGCGGCAGAGGCTCTCCGAAGGCATCAGGCGCCGACATGCGGCCGTGGACTAATCGCTCCAGCAACAACTGTGCCACCTCAGGACGCACTGGACAATGCGTTGGACACGAACCTGGTACTTGTGCAGGACCTAGCACAGGAAAACCGTGCTCGATCGCCAGCCCGACGTGGTATCGAACGACGTGCGGAAACCCTCCACACTTCGTGTCCTGTCCCCATGGCGGTGGGGCTGGTTGTAGTGGTGTTGTTGCGGGGGAGGTGGTGGTGGTCGGGGTGGTGGTGGTTGTGGCAGCAGCAGCAGCAGCACCAGCAGCAGCAGGAGCAGGAAGCGGAGGAGGAGGAGGAGAAGAAGTAGTAGTAGTAGTAGCAGCAGTAGCAGTAGTAGCGGTAGTAGCAGTAGTAGCAGTAGTAGCAGTAGTAGCAGTAGTAGCAGTAGTAGCAGCGGCAGTAGCAGTAGTGGTGGTGGTGGGAGTTGGAGTAGCAGTAGGAGTTGGAGTGGGAGTGGCAGAGGAGTTGGAGTGGGAGTAGGCGTAGGAGTAGTATATGGTAGTCGTCGTCGAAGAAGCGGTGGTGGTGATGATGATAAACATGTTGGTGATGTTGTTGATCGGCAGCTCACATGTTCATTTAGTGTAGAGCAACAGCTTTGATGGCAGTCGGATGATTGTCCTTACCAGTAGTGTTGGCACCATCTAAACTATCAGCACTCTTCCCTAGCCTTATCTCGCCGTTACGCGGCACACAGATCGCGTTATCTGTTGCGAGCAAAGCGCCATGCGGTGGATGTTCACGGAATTTGCGGACTGCCACGCCTTAAGACATAGATGGTTTGGAGAGCTAGCGTGATAATTAACCTTATCAAAGTATTTGCATGAATGATGAACAGATGGTTGCAATGACAACAGCCACGGTAATGATGTTGATGATGGTGCTGATGTGATGATGATGATGATGATCAGGACAAAGGGAGAAGACTCACGATGCGAAGAGGGGTCGTTATGATGATGACACGGTGATGCTGATGATGGCGGTGAGATGCTGATGATGATTCTGATGATGGTGATGCTGATGCTATAATGAGATGATCGGTTATTGGCCTGATGCGGGCGCACTGTGTGAGCGTAGCTTTTGCACGGGGCACGTGGCCCCCTGCCAGAGCTACTGTAGTTCCCCCTCTCAGAACAGGCTAAATACTTCGGGGTGTATCTGGGCCCAATAATGATGAATTCAAAATACCAGCTACCGTGTTGCAAAGGCCGAATCCCCTACTTTCTGATGCATCCCTTCCTCCTCGTTGGAAACTCACGCTGTATAGATCTATTGTCCTGTCCATCCTCCTGTTTGTTGTGGACAGCGTCCTCCGTACCTCCCCACAAATCTAAAAGACAGAATGCCACACACTACAAATCCCTAAGGCGTTGAAATCAAGTCCTTCTATTACAAAACAGTACTGCAACCCTCAGACCGGTACAGGATCATCTAGGATGGGGCTGATTTGTTGGTGGCTTCATGCTTGACCCCAAGAATGTATGGATTTAACTTGGCCGGCTGTAGATCTGATTACCTTTTTGCTTGCTTGCTTGCTTCTTGCCTTCTTTCTGGTATGAGGGGCTGAGTGCATTTCACCCGGCAGGATTGCCAGCAAATCGCCGTCAAAGTTGCTCTGCAGCGCCTGGTCGCGGCGGTGGGGGCCCCAGAAAAGAATCAAACATGTTTTAGCCTTTCAGCTCAATCGCGTAGTTTCTGCCGAAGCCATGTCGGGCGAAGCCTGATATTTAATTACAACACGATTAGATTCTAGAGTGCTTGTATTTCGGGTTTGCCCTCGAAGAACTTTCAGCCGCTTTAGTTCAAAACTCAATCCACGCAAGCGGATGAAGGTTGAGACCGTGACGTGTTGAAACTGTTTCCTCCGACCATGCGACTGCATGTAACAAGAAGCACAATCACCTCCACAGCCTCCTGTGGCTTCGTCAACAAGACTGAGTTTTTTCAAGACACGGAATGCTTTGCCTGACGAAGTTGCTTGACAAAATTATGCAATCAAACGAGGCTGGGTTGTGACATCATCAAGGAATGCTTGAGCTCCACGAAACTGCTGCATTGTATTTAAGAGAGTACTCCTACCCCCAAACCTTGTAGGGACGTTCTATGTATACAGGTTTGCTCGTAGATATCGATACTAAACTGCACACATACAAGGGTTTCTGCAGTGACATCGTCTTTTTGGATGTGGAGGTGGTCGATTCAAGTTTAGGTTTTTCGGGTAACTTGCGCGGACTGGTGGGTCTATGGTTCAGATTTTAGGGTTTAGGGCCGTTGGGGCGCAGGTGATTGGGTTGGGCTCGGCTCCGACAGTCGCGGGCCCCGGACGGGTAACCGGGATCATGCATACATTCACACTTGAGTCGGTGTCGTAGAACCGACTAAGTATGCTGGGTATTACCTTGATTATCTTCCTGCGCTCGCCAAGGTTGGTCGCGCTCGCTGCAGAGTAAAGGCACGAACAGCTGAACAGCAACAAGACTCTCACCGAATCGGATGGATCTGCCCCGATTAGCCGGACTTGTCCCTGACACAATTTCACAACTCCCTGATGTGTTTGCAGCACTTGTGACTTGCGTTGTCACCCGCGAGAGGCGCAAGCGTACTTGGCGCTGTGCTTCCATCACGGCTGGACATCTGGCAGAATGCATAAAATCAACGGCTGAGTTTTGAGCAATGTTGAGCATAGTCTAGCCACAACATGTTTCGAAGCTGTGGTCCGTTCTGAAGTGTTGAAGTTATGTACGCGGCAAGACAGTCGGTAGATGTGCTTGTCACCACCTGTTCGCGGGCTGCCATTACTGCTTTCAGGATTCAGGCGAGATACTCTGATTAGAGGTAGCGTAGGTGCGCTGGGCGGGTTGCCAACATGGGTCACGGAGGAAACAACATTATTCCCAATGTGCACTTTCGGAAGATCAATGGATGCCAAGCCGGACGCAAGAACCGCGTGTTCGTGCGCACCTGGTTGGACCAGGCTGGTCGCAAGAAGCGTCGGTCCAACGCACGCAAGGCCAAGGCAGCCAAGGTGTTCCCCAGGCCGGCTGCTGGCCTGCTGCGGCCGGTTGTGCACCCTCCAACACAGCGCTACAACATGAAGCTTCGCCTTGGCAAGGGCTTCACCCTTGACGAGCTCAAAGAGGCGAAGATCCCAAAGAAGTACGCAAAGACCATTGGCATTGCCATTGACCACCGCCGCAGAAATCGCTGCACAGAGAGCCTCCAGGCCAACGTAGAGCGCCTGAAGCTTTACATGTCCAAGCTCCTCCTCTTCCCAAAGAAGGCAGGTGCCAAGAAGGTGCGAAAGGGCGACACGCCCCGCTCGGAGCTTCAGAATGTGGCGCAGAACACGCTCAAGGAGATCATCCCTGTGCCCAAGCCGGAGAAGCGCACCCGTGCCCGTGCCATCACTGCCGAGGAGAAGGAGGCATCGGCATACAAGCAGCTCAAGAAGGCGCGGACCAACAAGCACTATCTGGGCGAGCGCATGAAGAAGGCTAAGGATGCGGCGGCCAAGGAGACCTAGACAAGCGACTCAATCGACCATGGACCAGCCGAACAGCCGAACCAATCTCGCCTCGTGAAAACGCCGTCATGCCCGGTGCCCGGCCAGTCCCCTGAACGCCCGGATTCCGGATAGCTCCGCAATGCTTGCCGAATGACTTTGCATTTTGCTGTCACTGTCCTCTGCATTGGCTCAAAGAACTGTCCATCATCACAACACTCTTCCTTGTGGGAGCGGGGCATCTAGAAGATGGCTGCAGCCTTATGTGAGCTCACATGCATGTCCCGAGTTTTTTTCAGCCAACCCAGGCCGGGACCGGAGCCGGCTACGACCTCTCTGTTACCACCTTTTCCCCCGACGGCCGAGTCTTCCAGGCTGTTTCAGTTCTCCATCCTCCGAGCGCTGCTGTTGTGTTCAGACTGATGGCGACCTCAGGTGGAATATGCCGGGAAGGCCGTGGAGAACAGCGGGACAACGCTTGCGATTTGCTGCAAGGACAAGAGCTCGTGGAAGCGGTTTCGCAGCCTCAAGAACAGTTGCTTGACGTATCCTCACGTGACGATGCTAAACTCTGTCGCAGGACGGTGTGGTGTTCGCAGCAGAGAAGTTCTTGTCAGGGGGCTCAGTAGTACAAGAAGTAGGACACGCTGCCGTTTCTTGTGGTATGCTCCAGGCTCTCGAAAATGTTAGTGCCGGGCACCGCCAAGCGGATATTTCCAGTCCCGGGCTCGAACTTTTCGTGACGTGCCCTGCTTGTCAGATCGAGACTAGAGGACGGAGACTTAGGTTCATCGACGTGCAGGGATGTCCATTGCTGGCATGGTAGCCGACGCCAGGCAGATCGTCAGTCAGAGCCCTGGCTCAGCGCACGCAGCGCACGGGGCTTCTAGCTGTGGCTTGCAAGGAGCTGTAGGCCGGTACATCTCTCCAGTTGAGGTCGGGCACGATCGGAAGCGACGCCACCTTCCTAGTACTTGCCCGCCGTTTTCCGGGCTCTTGCTTTACCGTGCTGAGGCAATATCAGAATGCGCAGCGATCTCAGTCTGGAAGTCCTGCAGCCGGCACTGCTGAAGTCTGTCTTGCCGCACGAGATCTGGAAACAGCGTACTCTTTGATTCTCCAGCAGTGCAAGGTACTGTGAGGAAGTTCCACCAGAGCTTTTGGCTGAACGAGCGGTGCTCGGAAAGGAATCGGTCTGAACCTGTGGGCATGAGCTGAGAAGACATGACGAAACTGTCGAGCCTCGAGGCTTGGGTCTCTTCATGCACGCATACACCCTGCCGGTGTCTCAGCAACCGGCCGCGGTCGCCCGAGGCTGGCGCGTACTGCTTCAGCCGCTCAGGTACTGGTCCGTGCGTCCCTTCGGCTGTGCGGTTCTCCTCGGCTGCGTGGATGAGGAACTCTGCGCTGCATGTCCAGACTTTGCGAGCTTGGCCTGAGCCGACAGGAGACCAAAAAGCCCGACTTGTTTTGCATTGAGCCCAACGGCATGGTCTACAAGTGAGCCGCAGAGTGATACGTTTCGATCCGCTTGCATCCTTCCGTCCGTGTCCGTGTTGCTTGGCTAGCAACCACAGGTACACAGCCACGGCAGAGGGCAAGGGTGCTGCGTGTCATGAGTTAACAGAGCCCACCTCATAGGACTTGGTGTTTTTTTGCCTCTGTTGCAGTCTCAAGGCAGATCAACTTGTGGTTGCACTTGCACAAGCATGGATGCCAGGAAAGCAGGCAGCCAAGACAGAGATCGAGAAGGTTTTGGCGCACGAAGCTCAGTGGAGGGTACACGGCACTTGCCAGTTGCATCACAGTGCTCCTTTCAGCCCTAATTTTTTCGCAGTTGCAGAAGCTGTTGAGCCGATTCGATTCCATGGCTCGGCAGGAACAATCCAGAGCTCACCTGTGAGCAAGCCCTCGTCCACGTCATGCGCTTAGGTTTGTATGGCTGTTGCTTTGTTGTGATTGGGGTGCTTCTTCGTCGGCGTGGCGCGGGGCGTGGGTAGGTTCTGTGTTTTCGGCGAAGTATGAAGTTCCAGTCAGAAACGGCAAAGAACTTGCAGAGAACCGCAGCATTGACCCAGGTTGCAAAGATCATTCACAAGGCCCTCTGCTGCCATACTAGGGGTCACTCTCGATCGTGACTCACTTGCCTTCGGAGCTGGGGCGAGCAGACGGCTGACTGTTGCTGAGACGAGACAATCGTCACATGTACGTGCTTGTAAAGGCAAGTCTGTTGAAGCGTTCAAGTCGCAGAAACAAAAGTCCGGTTCGGACGACTCCGGCAGTCTTGCTCGCTGTTCGCAGGTGCACGATGAAAAGGACAAGGATTTCGAGCTGGAGATCTCGTGGATCTGTCCGGCATCGAATTACCAGGCAAGGGGCACTGCCATTCGCTCCATGTTGTGTTTATTGATACTTGCGTAAGGCTTGCCAGAGTCAGTTGGTCAGAACTTGTCCACTTCCTAGAATCCTAAAACTGTGAATGCAGACGAACGACGTTCTTTGTTGGGTCTCTCCATGGTCCATCCTCGTCAATGGCGAGGAACAAGACGAAGCTTCAGTTGGAGCTTTCTCGGGAAAGCTTCGGAAAGTAACTGACTGGACGTCGCGAGATGGCTGGTGAATTGAGGAGGAAACATACCTCGCAGCACCCTAGGCTGGGCCTGGGAGATTGTCGGTGAACATGGGCAGCGACACCGAGACGGAAAGCCTTTCAGAGGATGCGACGAGCGTGCCGTTTGTCGAGTCGAGAGCATTGAAGGGTAAGTACTAAGCATCAGAGCATGTGTCTCGTGTTGCAGTCGAAGGATGGCAGAATGCAGCATTTCTGAACACCAAGTGACGCACAGTGTTATATAGGCCTGTGATTTACAATCGATGCACAGTCGACACGACCGTGGAAGCGGACACAGGCGTCGCCAGCTGTTCAACGTAGAGCAAACACAGCAGCATGATGGAGACTTCAACTCTTCGCGATGTGAGTGTTTCCGTTCGAGCTTGCTTCATGTTCGACCGCCTTCAGGTCTTGGCATTTGTCCCAGAATCTCAGGGAAGCTCATGCTCTGGCTTTTTTCGGTGATCACCTCGCACATCCCGTAAATCCTGGGTAGCGTCAATAGACTCTTTGGTGTGACATGCGGTCGCTGATTCTTGGGTGGACAGCAGAGTCGCAAGACCATTGACAACCCTTCGGAGAGCGCCATGTCCATCCACCACACTTGAAGATGCCATGTTTGCTCTTTCGCACAGCTTTGCTTCGCTTCCTGCGCTGCAGTTCTCTGCGGTGTCAGCAGAGCAGCGAAAAGCGGCCGAGGCCGAGGCGCCGCCGAGTTTCCCTGCAGAGAGACCTCGTGTGTACATCTTGTGGAGGGTCCTGTACTCTACTGTGACCCCCATTGCAAAAGCCCCGCAAACGCAACATGCTCGGCAATCCTCGTTGCTGTTTTCTACGCTTGGACATCTGTTGCCCTAAAACCCCCTGAGAGCAGTGCCTCCGACACGAGGCCTGCTGACCTGCTGCCACAAGTATCACGTTCGCACTGCACGGCACAGCAAGGTGACAATTCAGGTCAGGCGTATGCACAACACCCAGAACGGTGCACAGGCTCACGCCATGCTAAAGTCGAAGAAAGAACACCCCGCAGACAGTGGAGGGAGTGCACTTTGAGCCGCAGACCTGCGACAATGAGCAGCCACATAACTGGGATTCTGTCTGTGCCTATGTCTTTTTGCAAACCTTTGTTTGACTTGCGTTTCTGCCTATCTACCTGTCTATCTATCTATCCATCCATCCATCTTCCATCTATCCATCTGTAGGTCTATCTATCTATCCATCTATCCATTTATCCATCTATCCATCTATCCATCTATCCATCTATCCATCTATCCATCTATCCATCTATCTATCCATCTGCCTATCTATCCACTTCTCTAGGTGTCTATCTATCTATCCATCTGCGTGTCTATCCACTTGTCTATGTGTCTATCTATCTATCTATCTATCCATCTATTTGTCTTCCTGTCTATTTGTCTATCTGCCAATCTGTCTGTCGATCTATGTGGCGATCTATTTGGCTATCTATCTATCTATCTATCTACCTATTGTTTGTATAGTATAGATACGACGATAGACAGCCACCTAGATAAGTACGCAGATGAAGCGAGAGGAAGCACAGACTGACACGGACCTACATGGTTAACGTATCTATCGTATCATCTGTTTGCACATCCAAGTGTTCGTTTGGATGCATAGAACAAAACGCAAAACTCTTCCTGCCCCGGACTCCTGGCCATGAGAAAGTTGTCGCTATATTTTCGGTAGGCAGTGCTTAATCTGAGACTGGGTCAGAAAAGCAAGTATGTAGCCAGCTTTGCCCTAGAGTGATGAGGCCAAGCGAGGCCTGGAGGCAGAGCAGGAGGACAGGGCTCCACGGCTCAGCGTGAATCCACGCTCAGGGGCTCCTTTACCTTGCAGCATGGGAAAGCTGTCAGTCCAGTAGGTCGGATTGGCCCCGAGGTTCAAGCACAACAATCAGAAGTCAAATGTCGAGGGGTTCAATAGATCTTCGTCACCTGCCAGCTTAATCTAGGAGCCGAGGTAAGCACGGCCTTAGGAAGACCGGCTCATGAGGACTAGGCCAGCCCGGTGCAAGATTCATGCCCTCTCTCTCTCTCTCTCTCTCTCTCTCTCTCTCTCTCTCTCGACCCTCCCATCCGAGCAGGACGACTGAAGAAGCCAAGAAGGCGCCAGAGTAGAACTCTGCATGCGCTTCGGCACTGCCAAACCTAAGACGGGCCTCACACTGCCGTCGTCAGGTTTCAGAGGTTTCTTATTATGTAGACCCATTTTTCATATCTTGTCCATGCCGTGAGGAAGGCAGTCGCTCCAGATCCATTCGAGGATGCAGATGGGAAGCTGCAATCGGTCAGTATGTAGACCAAAGGTTTGTATCCACAGGACATCGCTGCAGTATGGAGTTTTATGTTATTATGCCAAATCCGGATTCCGCCAGAAGTATCCTGCT